GAGAGCGGGGACTGGGCCTCTGCCGACCCTGCTAGGAACTGGCTTACTCCTCCACTCGTCAGCCGTGAGCCAAAGAATGAGGAAGCAGAGAAAGCGGAAGGAGGACGCAGCTTCCTTCCCCCCGGATGGACACACGTTCTAAGGAGAAGGGAGACAGGGGACGATCCCTGGCTCAGGGTCACACCTGAGCCCTTGGGGGCAGCCTCTAACACAGTGACCACACGAGGCTGAGGAGGAGGCCCACGGTGAGCACGTGGCCTGTGGGTGAGTGGCAGTGTCACCCTGGTACCTCCATCTTGTTGCCAGCGGTGAGGAATCCACAGCAGGGAGTGAATACGATGCCTAATGCTCTTGAGGCCCACATTAACCCCTGCAAACCGAGGAGAAACGATCTGTCCCAGCGGGACAGTGCGCTAGGAAGAAACCACGAGTCATCATCTGGGTTTGGACTTGACTCGAATTTTCCGGTTTAGGTTCTGGGTACATTTCTTTCCTGACCTGTAGGGACAGGGCGCTCCCATCCCTTGGCACATGCCTGCCCCTGACCCTGTTCATGGGTAAGGAGACCCCCTCACATGCAAGATCTGCTCACAGGGGGCTGAATCCAACATTCCTGCTCATCTCCCCAGCCCCACCCTGTTGAGGGTTTGGTGGTGGCCAAGGCAGAGCCCTCCTGCTTTTGGTTTTTCCTCTACGTCAGGTCATCTTGTAATCATTATTATTACCTTTTTCCCCTTTCCCTGCCTTCCCACAGGGGATTTGCCAATGGTTTCAAAAACATTAAAAACACAGCCATCAGAAAAGTTCTTCTCGTTTTTCTGTCCTGCCAGTCCTATTTGCCTGCCTGCAGGGAAGAAGTGGGAGCAAGCTTGAATAGGCCCAATCAACACAGCCAGGACTCTCACCTTATCTTGCTTCTGAGTCAGACTGAGAAACTGCAGGGAAAGGAAGGGCCCTATTTCCAGGAATGATCCCCAGCACTCTGAAAAGTCTCACAAAATCAACCAGAGAGCAATTTACTAAAAAAAATATCCCCGGGTCTCTGGCCTCCTGGGCACTGCCGCTGCGCAAGACTTTACCTTAGAGGGATTTCAGGTGAGGGCAATTTCAGGTGCCAGTCTCTTCCCCCCATGCCCCTCAGGGCCACATCTGCTGGTTTTAATGACATGGAGCATGGGTCTCTTTCTCTCCAGGCTACACAGACTTGGAGGAGCCCAGCGTGTGCTTCTGCTCAGAACTCAGCAGCACCCAGCAGCTAAGCAAAGCTGGCTTTTTATCACGGGGGCTTGGTGTCAGGGTGGAATGCGTGTGTGTGTGTGTGTGTGTGTGTGTGTG